ATGTCGAGTTTGGACTCATTTTAAAGGATTTTTTATGAAGTTGACAAATATGTCAAAATTTAAAGTTGAAAGTTAGAATTTTTTGTTTTTTTGAGATAAATGCATTAAGTTTGGACTCATTTTAAAGGTTTTTTAATGAAGATGACAAATATGTCAAAATTGACGTTGACGTTTCAAACCGGAAGTGATTGTATTTCCATTAATATTAAAGTTAAATATGTCGAGTTTGGACTCATTTTATAGGATTTTTTGTGAAGTTGACAAATGTGTCAAAATTAAAAGTTGAAAGTTCGAACTTTTTGGTTTTTTGAGATAAACGCGTCAAGTTTGGACTCACTTTAAAGGTTATTTTATGAAGATTACGAATATAATAATAAAATTAAAGTTGACATTGACAACTGAAAGTTTTTTTCACGACTAAACTCGAATGTTTCTTGTTCTCGTTCTAGGTTTAGTTCAATAAAAATATACAACATATATGGCTATTTAACTTTATCATGAAAATTATTTATTTTTTAAGGTTGGTCACTAAGTGTTGACATTTAAATTTTGAAATGCCATTGTCAAAATAAAAAAATACTTACTCATCGTCATGCGCTTTAATATCATGTGCCAAATCCTGATGATTTTTCAATAATTCCTCAGCCGTTTGAACATCTCGAACGGGATTTTCTTGATTTAACTGTTCTTTAACATCTCCAACCCAACCTAAAAGGGCTAAAGCACTATTTGTGAAGATCTGTTGTCCAACAGCATTTTCCAATCCCTTTTTACGATCCGCTGCCTTTTCGCTAACCTGATTCCAAAAATCATTAATTTCCGCTTGACGTTCATCGACATTTTTCTTTTCTTGCGGATAAGCTGACTTGACGGAATTCGCCAATAAATCAACTTTATTAACTTTTTCTTCAACCGGAGCCAATTCGCGTTCGAGGTGTTGGTGTCTTCTTTGCAACGCTTGCACCGTTTTTAAATCGTGCGCGTGAATCGGCGCTTCAAGTTGTGCCATTTTCTCCAACATCCAATCTTTAGCCTCATCGCAAGTCCTCGTGAATAATTCGACACTACTAGCACCTTCCAAACTACGTTCTTTTTGAGCTTTTAATTTATTTAAACGATCCCAAGCGGAGTGTATTTGACGATGTCTCGCGCGAACTTTATCGATTTGAGCCGGTTTGCGTTCTTCGAAATCTTTAACTTGATTATCGAGGGCTTCGATTCTTTTGTTACTTGCCGATAAATCGGTGACGAATTTTTCGTATTTTCGCTTAGCTTGTTCGACGTTTTCATTGGGATCATCGGATGTTAATAATTTTTCTTTGTCTTTTATCCACTTTTCGAAGTCATCGCATTCTCGGTAGAATCCGAATAATCTGATTGCGTCTTCTAATTGGGTGTATCTCGACGCGGCTAATTCTTGGCATTCGTTGTAATTGTCGTTGATGTTTTTTTGTCGCTTCGGAACCGAATTACTATCGTCGACTTTTCTTTTTTCGGTGCCCCCTTTCGGTTGTTTTACGACTTTAACAGGAACTTTTTGTTTCACCATTTTGGTTTTTTTCACTTTTTGAGTTGCCTTAATTTTTTGTGGTTTTCTAACTTGCACTTGCATTACCATCGGTTCGATTTCTTTGACGTAATTGGCCGGGGCGAAACCTTCGACGCCGCTGGTTTTTTTACGGACACACCACCAATCTGGGTTGCTTTTGTTTAATAAGATCATTACGTCTCCTTTGGCCATTGTGAAGCCGTGATCGTTGAATGGGTATAAAGCGCGAACTTGGGGGATAACTTTGTCTTCGATAACCGTGCGATTTTCGACTTTATCGATTTCTTCTTCTTCCCAAACTTCGGTTGGGATCATTCTGATTTCGTAGCTCCATTCTTCGACTGGTTCGTTGATGTCGACTTGGGCTGTAAGATCGAGGTGAGAAATTCCGGCTGATATTAATTGTTCGGCTTGGTTATTTAAGCTTTGAATGTCTCCTTTATAAGCGTTTAATTCTCCTTGTAGGTCGCGAAGCCTTTGTTGGAGAGCTTGGGCGCTTGGTTCGTCTGATCCGTAATCGGTTGATGTTAATAAAGATTTTTTTTCGTGCAACCACGAATCGGCTTCGTTGGCGTCGGCGTAAAATTGATAAGCTTCCGCTGCGTCTTGGAGTTGTTTTGCGCGCTCATTCGCCAATTTTTCAAGTATTTCCCATTCTTTTTTGATGTTATCGATTTGTTGTTGGATTTCGGCCGAACGGGGGTGCTTGGCTTGGATTAATTGGTTTGAGGTGTGCCCTAACCTATCGAATTTATTTTTTAAATTTTTGATCTCATCCAAGAGGAGTTTGTGTTTTTGTTGGAGGTTTAGAACTCCTCGGAGATCTTTCGCCGTGATCCCAGCTTGGCAAATACGTTGTTTTTCGATTAACCACGCTTCCTCATCTTCGATGTCTTGGAGGAATTGATAGAAATTGCGGGCTTCTTCGAGAAGCGCGCGTCTCTTTGCACTACATTCCTTTAAAATTAAAATTAAAAATCATAAATCATATTAATTACAGTAATACCCCGTAGTTACGCGTAAATCGAAAATCGTGTAAGTCGAAATTCGATAAATATACAGGGTGTGTCAAATGTCTGGAATATAGCCAATAACTTCGCCACTTGTGGTTTTTACGAAAAATGTTTCAAATACAAGTTTCTTTATTAATCGTGGCGCATATTTTGGCGTTATTTGCTTGTTTTCTGTTTCGTTGCTATGGCAACCAACATGGTTATTGTAAATGGGATGCATATATTGTTTTTGCATACTTTGATAGAGGATAAATCCCTCTATACGATGAACATATCTAATAATATGGTTGTATAAGAAAAAAATCAAAAAGATCCGTTTTCTTAAAATATTAAATCAGCAAATTACAATCAAAGTAGGCGCCGAAATAACGCCGATGACAGCTATAAATGCCAAAATGACAGTTTAAACAATTATGAATAATTAATAATGTACAGATACGGTGACACATTTAATGTAGTTTCGTCACACGTAGCTGTCTTCGGCCGTCCACTTTTTGGAAGGTTTTTAACAGTTTCGGTATTAAAGAATTTTTTTAATATTTTGGATACTGTGGATTGTGTAATTCGTGTATTCGGGTAAATATTATTAAACAGTGTACACACTTTACTTTGTCGTTCGCTTAATTGCATCATATTTGTTTAAACTGTTAATTTTTTGACATTTTAAGCTGTCAACGGCGTTATTTCGGCGCCTACTTTGATGGTGATTTGCTGATTTCATATTTTCAGAGAACGCATTTTTTTTTATACAACCATATGATTTAATATAATCATCGCGTAAAGGGATTTATCCTCTATTAAAATATGCAAAAAGAACATACATATGCATCCCATTTAAAATAACAATGATGGTTGCCATAGCAACGAAACAAAAAACAATGTAAACAAGTAGATATCGCCAAAAAATGCGCCACAATTAATAAAGAATTTTTTATTTGGAACATTTTTCTTTAAAATCACACATGGCGAAATTATTGGCTATATTCCAGACATTTGACACACCCTGTATATAGTGATACAATAAAGTCTACATACACCCCAAAAAATGATAATATCTCAGTTCCTGAAATGTAATTCAATGAATTTTTTAAACGAAGGATATTAGAAGTCTATATTATTTTAATACAAAATCGAAACTGTTTCTGGAGCTAAGATATTATCATTTTCCGGGCTGTATGTAGACTTTATTGTGTCACTATATTATAAAATCAAGGATTAACAAACATTAATTTTGTGAAAAAATGTATGATCAGCCTGTACCACCTTGTACAGGGTGATCTCGTTTTTCGAGAAACCATAAAACCAGCAAGTGCAACTATCTTAGTTATTATTATAGGTGCGAGTATTATAATTAAGACATTATATGGACACTTTCTTACAGAGAATTTGATGACGTAGTCAAGAAAATTTTTCGGTTTTAGATTTTGAGATACCACGACAATTTTCGTTTTTTTAAAATTGAAACAACCATTGATTATTCGCTTATTAAATTCGTTACTTTTTGCTGATTACAAAAATATAGGGTTCGACCAAGGACAGTAGAATCTAACAGGACTGCTACATCTATTGTATTTTTGTAGTCCACTACGGGTTGGTTGCCCGCTCTCTACGTCACACTATTAGCCACGCCTGGTTACTGTCTGTGTTTTTAGAGGTTATATGATAGACATTATTACGTCTAAAAACATAAAACTTCAAAAATAATATGAATACGTCTAGGATATAACCTCTAAAAATACACAGAAACGCATAGACCATAACAACAGCTGGGCGTGGAAAATGGTGTGACGTAGTTTGCGGGCAGGTTGTCACAACAATGGATGTAGCAATCCTGTTAGATTCTACTGTCCTTGGGGTTCGACAAGTCTATTTCTTATTGTTTTAGAATAAAGCTAAAAAGAAACTTTTTTTTTAGTGTTGCCAAAGAAATTAAATTTACAGTTTCCTGTAAATTAAAACTAAAAATTAAAAAAACATTTCTAATATTTGAAACAAATTTGAACTATTTAATTTATATTTGTTTTACACAAAAGTTGGAATAGATTGCATTATTTCCTTTGATTATATATAATATGGATTGAGCTAACTGAATATATCTACTAACAAAAATGTGGCTCAAGGTGAATAGACGCAGATGGATAGCGATAATGTGAAAGTGTAACAAAGATAGACATAAAACGGTACTAAACAGACGGGCGCATGCGCACAAAAATTGTCAAACCTGACGTTTATCGTTTTCTTGTGTCACAGCCAGTCACACCGTTATGTTTAAAAATGTATTGTTTCGTGTGCAAAGTTCGCGATAATACAGTTTCACATCACCTGTAAGTATTATAAATAATAAGGAAATTTTATTTTATTTTATTTTTTTTTCTTTTTTCATTTATTAATTTTGTTTTAAATTTACCGCCAAAATTAACGCACGCCCATTATATGTCAGTACGCTTCTATGTCTNAAATTTTATTTTTATTTTTTTTTCTTTTTTCATTTATTAATTTTGTTTTAAATTTACCGCCAAAATTAACGCACGCCCATTATATGTCAGTACGCTTCTATGTCTATCTCGGTTCGATCACCTTGCGCAAGCTATCTCTCTCGTTGGCTCAATCCATATTATATATAATCAAAGATTATTTCACATTTTTTATTAATATTTAATATTATTATTAAATGACGTCATAAATTATTGATAGATGGCACTCATATATATATATATTTTTTAATTTAAATAAACATAGCAACATTTATTTGAATTCAAAAATTTTCTGAAGTGTCTAATTAAAAATAGTGTTTTTTTAGAAGGATTACGAAAATTACGAAAAGTTTAACATGTTGGAATGTTACATATTAACCCCATATTTTTGTAATCAGAAAAAAATAACAATATAATATCTCAAAATCTAAAACCGAACAAATTTTTTTAACTACTTCATCAAATTCTCTGTAAAAAGTATCCATTAATGTCTTAGTTATAATATTCCACCTATAATAATAATCAAGATAATTGCACTTGCTGGTTTTACGATATTTTCAATTTTGACCTCTAGGGGAAAAACAAAAGACGATAGCGCTTTGACGTTTTCGACATTGGAATTTATTTAAAAAAAGAGATCGAGACATGTAAGCTACTTTTTTTCTAACTCTTATAATTTCCAAGATAGCCTATTCGGACATCGAATTTGAACCACCTGTACAGGGGTCATGATATCATTCTATAAAAGATGATATAATGTCTGAGACTCGATTTTTATAAGAAGCTTAGTGGCGTAAACCGCATATCGACATCTCTTACGGTTTCAGAGATACAGGGTGTTTTTTCAAAAAAGTGCATTTTCGAAAAGTCGTCCTAACTTTTTTCTTATTATTAAATCTTGCTTTCTGTGAAAACATTTCCAAAGCAACTTTTTATGTAGAATTCGATGGAATAAATTAGCTTTCCCTCAAAGCAATATTTTGGCAGTTATTGACATAAAAATGATTTTTTTAAATGGAATACCCTATAAATTTTTGCAAATTCGACGAGTTTTATGCACTTGTCGAATTTGCAAGTATTATCGATTGCGTTCTCTTCGACTAAAATATTTTCAGATTTCTAGCACTTTCGGTTATACCGGAAGTCGCCATCTACTTTATTTTTTTAAATGGAACATCCTGTATATTTTTACATATTTGCATTTGTCTGTTCTCAAGGTTTATAAATAACTTTACTTTTTGCAATTTGATTCAGCCGTTCTCGAGTTATTCGAATTTTCCTAGAAAAATCTGCTCTAGCAGACATTTGTTCAAAAAATCAGAGAACACTCGATTTTTGGGATATCAATTTAGGATTCAGAACATGCTTAAGCAACATGATGGAGTATGTTTTGATGCCGAGAACGGCTGCCTAGAACGTTTGGTCACTTTACTATGGCACGTTAACTTTTCGAAATTTGGAAGTACCATAACTTCATTTTTTTAAATGGCACCTCCCATATTTTATTACTTAGTCGTCTTCGGCGTTTCATTTTACATCTTTTATATCCTATATGTCCCATACCTAACATTAATAGTTTGGGAGATAATTAGGGTTTTTTGAAAAATGCTCACATGTCAAAAATCATTTTTATGTCAATAACTACTAAAATATTGCTTTGAGGAAAAGCTAACTTATACCATCGAATTCTATATCAAAAGTTGCTTTGGAAATGTTTTCACAGAAAGGAAGATTTATCAATAAATAAAAAGTTATAAAAATGCACTTTTTTTGAAAAACACCCTGTATCTCTGAAATCGTAAAAGAAACGATTTTCGCCATTAAGTTTCTTATAAAAATCGATCCTCAGACACTGATATCATTTTTCCTCTATCTCTTATAGAAATAGGAGTTTCCCTTTAAAAGTGCCCAATTTGGCCCACCCTATACAGGGTGGTTCAAATTCGATGTCCGAATAGGCTACCTCAGAAACTATAAGACTTAGAAAAAAAGTAGCTTATATGTCTCGATTTCTTTTTTTAAATAAATTCCAATGTCAAAAACCTCAAAGCGCTATCGTTAGAAAAACCACGTAAGTACGGGGACGCGTAAATCGAAGTTTTACTGTATACATAATTAATTAACTTACTTGTAACTCGATAAAAGCTGATTCTAATTCGTTTAATTTTCTTTTAACCAACTCCTCTTCTTTGGGGCTTTGTGCCGCGTTTTCGCACATTCTCTTCAATTTTCTTTGAGTTTCTCCTAACGAGGTGACTTGAAGTTCTTGTAAAGCGTGTTTTTGTAATAATTCTTCGACCGCGAATAAATGCGCGCCGGTATCGACAGAGCTTAAGTCGGTTTTTAATTGGTTTATGCTAGCTAAAGTGGTGTCGATTTCGCGTAAAAGTCCCATAATGTTGCCCATTCGATTTAAACTAAATTTGTGTTTCTCTAAGAGTTCTAATAAATAATTCCATTTTCCCAAAACTTCTTGTTCGCGAGCTTGGACTTTATCTGAATTTCGATAATTTTCGCTTAAAAGCTCGTTGGCCATTTCGGTTAAATCATGAAATCTTTCTTCTCTCGCCAAGATATCGGCCGAAATAGCTTCGTGCTTTTTAACGGTGGCGTCAACTTGGGCTAAGTTTGATCCATATCGGGGGTCGGAAAGTACTTGGATCATATCTTTTAAGTAACCTTCGCGTAAAATGCTTTTCTTTTCGAATTTGTAATTTAATTGTTCTAATCGTTCTTGTCTGCGGAGTTCGTTACGCAGCCCGACTTCGCGGCTATGTTCAGCCCTTTCTAACATTTCCCAAGCTCTTTCAATATCTTGAACTAACTTCCCATCGGGTGGCGTAAAAGTTGGTTGTTTTAATTCAGTTAATTGAGTGTTAATGTTAAAGTATAAAGCTTCAATTTCGCTTCGTTCTTTATATTTAGGCGGTTTTTCTATCGTTCTGTATTGCCCAAAAGCTAATAATAAACTTTGGATTCCCTCTAAAGAATTCGGAAAATCCCTATTTTCCAATTCAACAACTTTAGCTTTAATCCACTCCAATAAATTTGAAGTAAATTTGTCGTATTGATTTTTCATTTTATCCGCTTCGACCATTTGGCTAATAATTTTTGCTATTCTTCTCCCACTTTTCTCTTCGTTTTTCATTCGGGCAAAAGTATGATAATAAGAAGCGACGTAAGTCATTATACTCTTCTCATCTGGACGTGTCGTGTCGATGTCTTCGGCGTCTAATAGTTTTGGAATGCCCAATTCGTTGTTGGCCATATCGAAGGCGTGATTTAAATTATCGAGCGGTTTCCCGTTGAGGAGATCGTTAAAATCGAAAAGGTCCGGACGATGGGCGTGAATTAACGCGTTAAATCCAAGTCCATTTCGCCACGATGATGAAAAATCGGTGATGTGGACTCCGTTGTACCCGTGTGTTTTCCTCTGGGCCCATAATAAAAGGGCGTCTTTGGCTGATTTTTTTTCGGAACTTTCATTTTCTTCATCCTAAAAACAATTAAACCATCATTATTTATTTATATACTACATATTGTAACGTTGTATTCATTTTGTTCAGGAAACACGGATATTTATTATTAACTAAACTTATGAATACTCTTATCTCAGGGTTCAAAAAAGAAAAATTAATTTTACAGGTTTCTATTTTTAAGTCGTTAACTGAGACTAATGAGAGAGAGAGAGAGAGAGAGAGCGTTATCGCCAATAAAGACAGATGTCAAACTATTATATTTACGTTAAGAAACTAATAAAAATTATAAAGACTTAAGTCTGTATTTGCAATTTTGTTTCTTCAAAAGACTCGGAAGTTAGTTTGAATTCTTGACATAAACATAAATAGTAAAATTCCCACTTATCTGATAAATAACTGTTAGGTTATGTGCGATTCAATTCGATTGAAGATCTCTATTGGGTTGGAAGGTCCCTCTTAGGAATGGAAAATGGACAGGAATCCGGAAAGCTTCGGCTCGGATAATTATTCTTCAATCATATATTGTTTAGATCAGGAATGTGGTAACTGCTCTTGGAAAATTTTCAGGAATCAGGTAATTTCTTCTCAATTTATTTTCGATGTTTAAATTTATTTAATTAAATTTTACTTTTTTTTTAGGTGAATAAAAAGAAATCTTTATTCTGTGTTAAGTTTGGATTGAACTCATCGGAGAACTAATTTTAGGTTAGGAAACTACTTTGGATTTTTTTAGGTTAGATTTAACAGAGCTCTTGCCCTTACTAAATTGAACTGACTTGGCTCAACTTTTTCCTCTTCTTATATAACCTTTTCCCCTTCTCCAGAAAATGTTCTTCGTTTTATTTTAAACCCTCTATTCTCATTGGTAGATGGGTTTCGCGCCATTTCTTCTTTTAAAAATATTTTAAATATATCTAAATTTCGAAAACGCCATCTATCGGATTTCTTTTGAATTACTCAAAATTTCTTTTATTAATATCTTCTTTATTCCTTTATTACTCTGGATGAGACTTCGTATTTAATGCAAATATCCTTCTATTTCAGTCATCCATTGGAGGTTTCAAAATTCTCCAACCACAAAAGAAGTTTGAAGTTTACAAATTTAAAATTAAATTCCCAAAGACAAAATCATTCAAAATCTTCCAGAATCTAATAAATTAGATGTAGCTGATACTGATCTTCCCGTTTTGAATGCTTTTGAATGAATATTAACAGTTTTAAAAGAATTATGAGCAACTAAAAATTAAATGTCAAATGAATTGAGGTTATGTCTCTCTCTCTCAGGTAACCTGTCTCGGGAGCTTTATTACAATATGTTATTTAAGAAAAGGTACTACGTTACGATGGTATGTACAAAAACAAAATTAAACCTATCTTGGTACAAGACAGAAAACCACCAAAAAAGGAATACCAGAGAATAAGGAAGAACTAAGAATAATTAATGAATTGTTAATGCAACATGACAGGGAGGAAAAACAAGGGGAACAATGGATAATAGAATAAAGATGGATAAAACTCAAAACTACAATACAAAAAGTAGCCGCAGAGGTATGTGGGAAAAAGAGAAGCAGCCTAAGACTTATAATAACATGATTTTGGGATGAGGAGGTGCAACAGGAAGTCAAAGAAAAAACAAAGGTATCTACAGACGAAAAGAGAAGAAGATAGATAGAACTACATAAACAGGAGGAACGAAGCAAAGAGTAAAAGGGTATATATTATAGCGAGGGAAGAGGTTAAGGTGGATTTAATAAGGGCGGAGGCTGGGAGAAGAGCAGTGAAATACGAGGAATTATCCACATTGCAGAATCCCGGGAGAAATCAAGGAGAGAATGTTGATATTGTCGGAGAGTGGGATATTCAATAACTGGGATCGGCTATAGAAGGTTGGAGAGAGGTGAAATATAGAAAGAACTGAGGGATAGAGACAGGGACATACAGAGGCAGGAGTGAAGGTCCTGGAGATATACGGGAAGGGAGATATAATGTAAGATATGGGGACATAAAGGAACTGTCAAAGTATTTGTTGATGGAATGGGAAGAAGAAAGGAAGAGATTGGTGGCCAGATTCCGCTGTGGCAATGAAGAGAGAGGGAACAGATACTGGACGGACGATATGGAGAGGCGGTGTAGGCTGTGTGGAGAGGATTAGGAGACACTGGAACACATGCTGAGAAGGTGTAGTGAGCTGAAGGAGAAGGCGATGGACTGGAGGCAGATTTTGAGGGTGAGGGCAAGAGATGGATGAGGGAGGTGATTGGGGCGAGGAGCCGGGGGTGTGAATATAGAGAGCTGGAGGGTAGAGGGTGAAAATCAGTATTGGAAATATGGGAATAGAGGAAAGCAAAATACTGAACACCTGGAGTAAATATTGCCAAGGTAAGCAAACAACAATTTAGCGCTTAATAACAACTAAAACTACAACTAACACTAGACCTAGAACTAGAATCATTCGGGTTTAGCCGTCTTGAGAGACGTGCTGCAAAATCCGAATGTTTCTAGTTCTAGTGTTAGTTTTAATTATTATTAAGCTTCTAGTTACTAATTCATAGATGGCGCCACCAATAAAATTTTAATTCGTCAAATTTAAAAAGTTTTAAAAACTTGATTTTTCTTGTTAAATAAGCTCAAGTTCAATTTTACAAGTTCTTAAATTCTAAAAAGCTTTCATTACTTTCGTATAAACGGTGCGCGATTTAGTGATGTTGACACGAAATGTTGCAATTTTATTTTTATGTAATTGAGGTTATGTTCGATTATGTTTAAAAAGATTTTGAATGAAAGTGGTGGCGATGCCTCAAGAACATTTTAAAATACGTTTTGGGCCAATTCAGTAAGGTTATGTTGCATTTATTTTATTTATTTAATCGATAGATGGTACTAAATTTTTTTTTTTAACTAATTTTGTTGCTATTCATTTTTATTTTTAATTAATTTTCTTAAACATTAATTAATTAAAAACCTTTCTTTTAAATTCAATTTAAATTCATATTATTTTATAATTAAATTTTAATTAAAGTTTTAGTTACAATTTCATAGATGGCGCCACTAATAAAATTTTAATCCATCAAATGTCAAGTTTAAAAAGTTCTAAAAACCTGATTTTTTTCGTTAAAATGAGTTCATGTTAAATTTTGCAAGTTCTTAATTGCTAGAAATTTTAATTTTATGTAATTGAGGTTATGTTCGTTTAAATTTAAAAACGATTTTCGCCCCAAGATTATTTTAAAATACGTTTTTGGCCAATTCAATAAGGTTATGTTGTAATTATTTCATTTGTTTAATCGATAGATGGCGCTGAATTATTTTAGAACTAGAATTATCCGTTAATCCGAATGTTTCTAGTTCTAGGTGTAGTGTTAGTTCTAGTTTTACACCAGCACTATTACAATGTAGAACTAACACAATACCTAGAATTATTTGGGTTTAGCCGCACGTCTCTAAAGACGGCTAAACTCGAATGATTCTAGTTCTTGGTCTAGTGTTAGTTCTACTTTTATTTCAGTAAAAATAATTTAGTACTTAATAACAATTAAAATTAGAACTAACACTAGACCTAAAACTAGAAAGTTTTGAAACCGTGTTGTTCCATACCAATACATGACTAAATTTGAAAAAATAGTCTATTATAAATCTAAAATGATTATTTACAGTTTTCTATAATTTAATTTCATTCGGTGATAATAGAGGGCGACTCTTTCAATGTGTCAAATCACACAAAATTCTTTAAATTATTATTTTTTTTTTTTGATTTTATTTTTTATAGTTATTATCCAAGGATTTTTGATCGTTAAAATGTTTACGATACCATCATTTTACGCGATAAGGTAAATGAAACATTTTATTTTTGGAACAACACGTAACAAAAAATGTAACAATACGCGGTTCTATTCGTTTATGGCTCGTTTTTAACATTAGTTTTAACACTTATTTTTTTAAACAATAGCGATTACAACATGCTTTTTAATCTACTTTTAAATCTGGATTAATTTTTAAACAAAATAAAGGTTTAAAACTTTTAAGTGGATATAAAAAAAAATTTTTAAGTCGCGTTCATTTTTAGCTCTTGATGTCACACTTATGGCACGTTAAGAGTAAATAATCGATAAGATAAGGAGGATATCAGTTTAATAAAAAAAAAATAAATTAAGCAACACGATGCGATTTAAAAAAAAACTAACTTACCACATCAATTTCAATTTCTTGAATTTGAAACCTTAAAATAATCGTCCAAATTAGACCCAAAATCAATCTGGGGTTTCCATCTACGATATCTTCCGCACCAATACTTTCCAGACGAACCTTCGTGTGTAAAAACGCCAAACTTTTGTTGACGTTTTCGATTTTGTGAACTCGCATCTTTCCATTGTTGGGTTTTGCTAGTTTTTCCCCCGAAATTATTTCTAATAATTTCAAAAGAATCTTTCCATCCGCTAAGTCCGTGAAGAGATCGTGAACTTCTAAACGAACCTAAATTAAATTAAAATTAAAGATTAAAATTGAAGATTAAGATTAAGAAAGAAAAAAGATCGAGGTATTAAAAAGAATTACTAAAAATGGGATTTAATCGGATTAAAACTGAAATTCTAAAGACATTTAAGTAATTTAGGGTTTATTAACCTCAATCATTTGGTTTATTAATACAACGCATTCCACCTTTAACTACCCAAGCATTCGACACCAAATTTCAAAACCATCTGTGTTATTGTTTACGTTTTATCGAATCCAAACAGAAAATCGTAGGATGTAATCATTAAGGTTTTTAATGTTTAGAAAAAAAAATAATTAATTGTTTATTTACCTTGACGAGAAAAGAATTCATCCATTTCGTAAAGGTTTTCTTTTGGATGTGTAAACGTTCTTCTTGCAAGACCTTGATACGGCCCTGCTCGAATTTTTGCACCTCGTCCCTTTGTGTCATATTGGAACGGCGCTGGATTTCCGTGCTTCTTCTTGGTTCATAATGTATTGGTCCCGCTACAAAAAAAAAACAGAATTTATATAATAATATCATGTATAGATAACCTCTAATCAAATAAGTCGTTGTTTTAGGTACCATCATCATCGAACTACCGGAAAAATATCGAATATGGAATTAGTTATGCCGGAGAAGAGTAGAGCAAATCTAGTCTTTTCAAGACTTAATCACAAGGCGCATTTAAGCAGCTTATAGATGAATTGAAGAAACCACCTGGATTGTTTTTGAAGCGCCAATGATTTATCTTTACGTGGGAAAGACAAAAAAATCCGCTGATGAAATTGGCTAAATAATGAAGGACTCTGAAGGAAATACATTTTTTCAACCAAGACTAAAAGTAGGATTTTACCAAACTCACAACAGTGTGGGATATAAAGCATCAGTGCAAACTTTATCATCGCCAAGATGGAAAGCAGATGGAGTTTTAATCATTTTCATTGGCTATGAGTTATTTGACAGCTTTTTTGACATTTTTGATTTGACCTTGGTTTATACATTATTACCAACTTAAAAATTTTTTCGTTATTATAATTGTGGAGGGATCTTTTGTTTGATGATGCCCTGCTATCTTTGTTCATTAATGCTTGGATAAGCTGATGACATTAAATTGTCAGAAAGAAATATCTAGAGCATATTTTGAGAAAAATAATATCATCAGTTTTAGCATTCTATCATTTCTATTATCTTTTAGCTCTCGGTTGTTGTTTCCCCAGATGGTAATTCTCCAAGTCTTTGTCATTCGGTGGAAATTACATCATCTTTTCTTTCTGTATACAGACCTTGAAAGTGGCTAAATAACTGCTAACATGTTATTTTGAACTACTGCAGAATTGTACCACATGTATTCGTATGTTACAAGTACGACCTCATCAACCGATCAACCTACTCCACAGTTATGGAAGACATGCTGAATCTACTACTACTAAAACCTAGATGTTGTGTACATCTTATATAGAGTGACATAACCTAAAACGGTTCTACAGAAATAGATAAAATCCTTAGGATTTATACAAGTAATACACAGATGGCATTAGGAACCCACCTTTGAGAGTCATCGTATCTTATAGGAAATCTCTAAGTTGGTTTAAGTGACCAGACTGAGTGTGGGTAAGATGCTTAAGGAGTCTAATGGGAACTAGATGCGATTTGGGGTAACGCATATACTCCAGAATCTAACATATATACATACAATCGGAGATTATATCACCTTTTCTATCCATATACAGGCTTTAAAAGTAGGTAGCCCACTCCTAACTTGTTATTTTTGGGTACTGCAGAATACAGAGGTCCATGTATTTGTATGTTACAGGTACGGTGCGACCAACCTACTGCGCAGTTTGTAAGTCATGCTGAATTCTCCACTACTAGTCCACATAATATTGCGTTGTATACGGCGGACGGGAGAAGAAAGATGGAGGAATGAAGGTGGCAGGGAAGAGAGAGAAGTGGAAGAGTATACATACCTGAAATATAGGTTCTCGGAAAGTAATAAAAATAACGAACAGGATGATGGGACAGGTATGGAGATGTGGGAAAAAGAAAGGTTATGTTTGAGGGCTTGATGACGAGCACAATGATGTACGGCGCAGAAGATTACTGGAGGATGTACAAACAAGGTATTGCAGGTGAGTACTAGGGTTGGCGAGGGAGGAGGTTAAGGTGGATGCAGTAAGGGTGGAGAAAAAAACGGTCCTACAGGAGTAGATAAAATCCTTAGGATTTGCACTGGTGATACACAGATGATATCAAGAATACATCTTTGTGAGTCAATATACAGTGTGTTAATTAATTAATACCAATATCACAGTGCAATACGCAAATCGCGTATTGCAATAAAAATACTGTGTTATTGGTTGCATACTTGCAATGATGACGTCGGGTACAATATACAGTGGGGAAAATATACAGGGTGAGTTATTATTAGCATCCCGGCGGACGATAGTTGCTAAACCGTTTGAGAAAGAAAAAAATGTTTTCTACAAAAGTTGTTTGACTCTCCACTTTCTATTACGTAAAATTATTTTCAGTTATACACAGTGTTCCATTTAGGCGTAACGGAGAGTATGCAGATTTTTTTAAATGGAACTTCCTGTATATTTTATCATATTATGAATAGCATTAAATTTGTTTATACAGCCGTATATGTTACTAACTCATAGCGTTCATAGTTCTTAAGATATTCAATTGTTTTTCCAAAATGTGTCCATTGCAGCATCTTTTTAAAAACGATGTAAAAACGATATTTTTTCCAATTTTGCCTTGAAACTATGTTAGATAATAGTCAAATCCTAAGATATTAGATACGCTATACAGCGTGTTCATAAAGCTTAGTTATTTTTGAAGATTTTCAAATGGCTTTTTCTACGTTTTTTAAATGGAACACGCTGTATATTGTGTGCTGGTTGAATTGCCCATCAAGTTACCTTTAATTAGTGATAAGTATGTCATATATCTAACTTTAGTAGTTTTCCTAATATTTAGAATTTAAAGAATAATGTGTAATAAAATGCGCTTTATTGTACTTTATGTTATTTTCTGTCTATGTTTATCGGTTTTTGTTGTTCTTCCTTTTATTATTTGATTAATATTTTATAATGTAAAATAATTTTGCAGCCATATACCAGATTTTAATGCAACTTGGTACTTTATGAGATTTTAAAAAGATGTAAATAATAAAATATGCAATTGCTCTGTCATATAATTTACAACTTTAGAGAAAATAAGATGCACATGTTAAGATATGTAAAAATAATACTTGTAGAAGAGAAAATAGGCGGCATTTTGAACAACTTCTAAATATTAATTAAATTAATACCTACTTGTTGAGCAACATTTAGTAATTGTTTATAGTTTATTGCTGCATTTCCTTCAAATAATTTAGTAATTAAGAAAGGGATTTATTGTTATGTCATTTAATTGTATTTTTATTTGGATTATTTAATTATTAAAGTTTTTTTTTAATTGTTTATAATATAATATTATTGATTTAGAAATGACAGACAAACAAAAAAAAAGGATAGAATATATTACATTCTATCACTTTTTAAGTACAATAATGACATTTTATTTCACATTTTTTTAAATTCTAAATATCAGGAAAACTATTAAAGTTAGATATATGACATACTTATCATTAATTAAAGGGAACTTGATGAGCAATTTAACTAGCACACAACATACAGAGTGTTCCATTTAAAAAACCTAAGAAAAAGCAATTTGAAAAACATCAAAAGTAGCTAAGCTTTACAAACACCCTGTATGATGTATATAATATCTTTGAATACTATCATCTACCTACTGGCTTTGACTATTGTCTGACGTAGTTTCAAGACAAAATCGGAAAAAATGTCGGTTTTACATCGTTTTTATATTAGATATTACATAAACCTTAGATAATCTTTTCCCATCAAAATACTGCATAGTTCTTTACAAGCTATAATTAATAAATCACTGCAAATGTTGCAGAAAATCTGTAGGAATTAAACAGAAATAATATAAAGCTGTTAGCTTAGAACCTACAAAAACGAAAATTTCTACTATAATTTATGTTCAATTAAACATAACAATACATAATTACGTCATAGTTCACAGTATTTAATCCGAATTTACGTGAGTTTGTAAATAGACTAAAATTGAGTGATGATCTCATATTTTATTTTTTTAATTTTTTTGTTTTTTTAAAACAACATTAAACAAAAATTGATGATAAATCATTGATTTTAATCAATTTTAACATTAATTCATCATAAAATGAAGTCGTTTCTAATAATATATTAAACAATACAATGATTTTTTACACTTAAAAATTAGACATATCCAAAAATAACTATTACTATTACTACTTGATGAATGTGACGAGATTACTTAGAGGATTATTCCACTTTAAAATTTATAATTAACCTAGAAATTGAACTAGAAAACTGGATTACATTTACATAGTAAATATTTTCTGATGACAAATTTGTAGCGAATTCTAAATTTCTACTCTAGAACCTAAATTTGTTATTTTAACTTATTTTCTATGAAAACTTCAACGATATCTTTGACATGTTTACACAAAGATTTCTATGATAAATAAAGATAAAAATTTATTGATCGATATTTCAGCCCCCGTTTAAATTCGTAACGTAACCGTTTATAGATGATTTTTTTACTAAATCGGCGTCGACGTCACCTAACCGCCTTTTTACTCTTAACAAGTAGGTCGTTTAACAAACCTTTTCAACTGTGCAGTGTTTAAACTCTAAAAAACACGACAAAGTTTTAAAGAGAGGAAGTATGCCTCAACAACTTTTGTATCTGTTTTTTACGAGTTCAATTCAAATTAATTTTTTAGTTTCTAAAAATAATTTTAAATAAATTTGCTTAATAAGATAAAAATTTATTTCTAAATACATAAAAAGCAAATTTATTTAAACAACAACTTACTATAGGGACTTCTCCCTGTCATTTTTTCGTATTTTTAACCACTCCTTAACCAAAACTAAAAGTAACAACACTCACAAACCGGCCGTTCATATTCAACTGATTAAACTTGGAGACGTGTGTGCTTGAAAAAGTATCTACAGATAACGAGCATGGGGCTCATCTCGATATTATACAGCTTAAAATCGATATACAATGATAAAATTGTTGCAATTTCATTTCATTTACTTGTTGTGCAGAGTAAGCGTCGGCACGTACACACGGAAACTGCTATTTTAAACGTTACGGTCTGATCAGTATGTAACTGTTTTTTATTCCATTGTAGAATGTACATTTTAACATGATAAAGCAAGCCAAATTTAAAAAAATAGGAAAAAGTAGGAAAGAAAGGTGACAATTTTAAAGTATAACTAAAATATTCCATTTATTTGGGTGTTAAATAATAAAAATCCAAAAAAAAAGTATTTCAATTAACATTTTGTTGTTATTTGTAATCAATTTATTTGAGCTTTGTATTAAGTTAAGCTTTTGGGGATTTATTTTTTTTTTCGGTTGTAAACAGTTGTCATGTGTAACTATGATTATTTTTATGAATTTTGTAAGTTTTAAAAATTGATGAAGTGTCAGAATTTGATGATAACATACCCTATAAAGTTTATAAACGTGTATAAACCAGTAATTAATTAAAATATTTAAATATTATAAAATGACAGTTATACATAAAGACATTTAGTTAAATTGACAACTGTCATTTAATTGAAATCCTTCAAAATTAAAACCAACCTCAAAAAAATCAAATTTACTATAAACGCAAATGAATTTGTAAAATAAACTAGATGACTGATATTAAACTGTCATTTTATAACATGAAAATGACGAAAAATAAGTTTTATCATTTCGGGACATTTTTAAGTGTTTATAAATGAACGATAGCATCTTTCATCTAGTTTAATTTAGAAATTCATTTGCGTTTAGTAAATTTGATTTTTGAGGTTGGTATTAATTTTGAAGGATGTCAATTAAATGACAGTGTCAATTTAACGAAATGTCTATGTATAAAAAGTGTTTATGGTTCTTTATATTAATTTAAATCATCCTTAGGGTAAGTTTTATCATTTATTTACATCTTTATTACTCAATATAAATGTTAACTACGAATTCGGAGCATTTTTCAGTGTTTATAAATGAATAATAACATAACCTATAAACCATTCTTCTAGTTTCTTTTAAAAATTCATTTGCGTTTAGTAAATTTGACTTTTTTGAGGTTGGTATTAATTTTGAAGGATATCAATTAAATGACAGTTGTCAATTTAACGAAATGTGTCTGCATAAAAAGTGTTTATGGTTCTTTATATCAATTTAAATCATCCTTAGGGTAAGTTTTATCATTTATTTACATCCTTATTACTCAATATAAATGTTAACTACGAATTCGGAGCATTTTTAAGTGTTTATAAATGAATAATAACATAATCTATAATCTATAAACCATTCTTCTA